GTAAAAGTAACACTGTATTTCAGAAAAGGAACATCATACCAACAGTAAAATATGGTGGTGGTAGTGCGATGGTCTGGGGCTGTTTTGCTGCCTCACGACCTGAAAGACTTGCTGTAGTAAATGGAACCATGAATTCTGTTGTCTATCAAAACATGTCATATCAAAACAGGAGAATGTCTGGCCATCTGTTCGTGACCTCAAGCTGAAGTGCACTTGGGTTCTAAAGCAGGACAATGATCCAAAATACAAAAGCAGGTCCACCTCTGAATGTCATAAGATGGCTCAAATATCTCATCTCATCTGATCACACTGATCTAGTCTGCTTTTTCAGTCAGAAAGCTGATAGGAAAGCAACAGTTACTTAAATAACCACTCATTACAACCAAGCCACACAGAAGAGCATCTCTGAATGTATGACATGCCAAAACCAGAAGCAGATGGGCCACACTGGGTACCACTTCTGTCAGTTAAGAACAGGAAACTTAGGCAGTGGTACGAGTAAGTACTAAACAAATTGGCTAATGAGCGCATATATGAATCCTTTAAACAGAATCAGGATTGTTGTTCTTATAGAGCTCAAAGTTCACCTTTATGACACATTGTGAACATACTATAACGATCAGAACCTAAATCCAGAACTGTTTTGTACTTTTATTTTATCAGCTAATCAAAAAAAATAATAGGAAGGTCACAAATAAGAAAACATTTGTCTCATTTCCACCTGTGATAAAGTCTTTGGTGATCACTGTTAAATATGAAGAGCAAAACTGACCTCGTTGTTGACCAGCAGCTCAATTGGAGCTATAGATGCAGGTGGGTATCCCTGCTCCTCGTCTCTGTTTAGGCCCTGTGCTATGTTACTGGTTTCGAACAGAGCATCTTTGATGAGGACAGACAAAGCTCGCAGGATGAAAGAGGCAAAAAGATTCATGTGGATATTGTTCCTCATGCAGTGGAGTTTCCTGATGAAGGAGAAGCAACAATCATCCAAGAGGTAATCTGTTGGTGTATCGATCATCTGGTTTTGCTCTCTTAAAATGTGGTTGAAATGATTTAAAGTGTAAATGATTATTACCTAAAGAATATGAGGATACCAAGAGCCAACACTAAAGCCACCAGGGATAAGGAATAGCCCACCGTGTACATGATCCGAATATGGACATAGTACTGCTGCAGATCAGAGCACACGTTTGTTAAATCTTTTTCATTTTTATTTAGAATAGAATAGAATAGCCTTTATTGTCATTGTACAAAGTACAACGAAATTGGAGTGCCACTCCCTTGGCGCAAAATGCAATAATAAATATAAATGTAAAATATAAAAAGTACAATAAAACAACCGAAGTACTCAGACAATAATAAGTACAGTATATACAGGATAGCAGGATAGCAGCATAATATAATATAATGATAGTATGAATTTATAGTAAAATTAGACAAAATCTCTTTATTCTTTAGTTTCTCTCTGCTATATCTAATGCTTTCAGATCAAGTAGAATAAAAAAAGACTTCTTACCAGATGTGGTGCTTGTTCATGAGAATCACACTCGCTGGTATTATATGTAGTCACCCACTGGCCATTCACATCACATTCCTGATACACCACGCCATGCTGAACTACACGCACACACACACAAACAGGCTTCTGTGATTTACTGAGAAGTCCAGTCATAGGCAGCTGTCCTTCTCTGCAGGGCATTTTAAGTGACCTGGCATGAGCATGTCTGAAATATTGTGTATGGCCAAAAACTCACACATCTCTTACCTTTACGGTGCCATGGCAAATACCACGGGCATGGCACAACAACAGTAGTGTTAGGGAGTCCATCGGGCCAACAGGCATAATTGTTAAAAGTCCTGTTGCACACCAGGCCTGTGATTAAACAAAAAAACCCATAACATCATAATATATATGCTGAGAAACCACAGACTACCCCAGAGAGTCTAAAACTTGCAGAATGCAGTAAAAATTAATTATATATTATATATTTGGAATGATTGCTGCTAGTAGCTATTATGTAAACATCAGGGCAATTTAGCTTGACTTCAGAGTCCTGACCTCCTACTTACAGTATATCACGTCTTCAATCGTGTTTCAGAACAGATGACCGAAACAACATTAACTGTACGGAGAGATGTGTGTTCGTGAAGTGATGTATAGGCTAAGCTGCTCTTGCGCTAATGGAGGGTGACAGGAAAGGTATGTAAGTGCTGCAAAGTGGTGTGATTTTGCATGCAGTGTGGGAAGCAGCCTTTCTGAAAGTTGGAGCAATCTGCTGCACTAACCAGCGAGCATAAAACATGATAACAGTCTTTAATGCGACTGAAGGGCAGCGTTTAGCGTGTAGTTAAACATTTTGCAGATGGGAGCTGCTTTTTACTAAGCATGAGCAGAAAGTGAGCATGGTGTAGTAAATGTATGACTGGAGAGGAAATCGCTGCCGCCTCATGGACTGGCAGACTGGGGTGGTGGTCCCCATTTTTAAGAAGGGGGACCGGAGGGTGTGTTCCAACTACAGGGGGATCACACTCCTCAGCCTCCCTGGGAAAGTCTATGCCAGGGTGCTGGAAAGGAGAGTTCGTCCGATAGTCAAACCTCAGATACAGGAGGCACAATGCGTTTTTTGTCCTGGTCGCGGAACACTGGACCAGCTCTTTATCCTCTCAAGTATACTTGAGGGCGCATGGGAGTTTGCCCAACCAGTCTACATGTGTTTTGTGGACTTGGAGAAGGCATTCGTCCTGTGGGGGGCGCTATGGGAGTATGGGGTGTCTGGCCCATTGCTACGGGCCATTCGATCCCTATACAACCGTTGCAAGAGCTTGGTTCGCATTGCTGGCAATAAGTCGGACTCATTCCCAGTGGGTGATGGGCTCCACCAGGGCTGCCCTTTGTCACTGATTCTGTTCATAATTTTTATGGACAGGATTTCTAGGCGCAGCCAAGTGGCGGAGGGCTTTCACTTAGGCGGCCTCAGAATCTCATCTCTGCTTTTCACGGATGATGTGGTTCTGTTGGCTTCATCGGGTGGGGGCCTCCAGCTCGCACTGGAACGGTTCGCAACCGAGTGTGAAGCAGCGGGAATGACGATCAGCAGCTCCAAATCTGAGGCCAGACAGATTTTAGTATACTGTGATATATTATGCTCTTGTCACTTGGTCAGAGTGTAATATTATGGCATTATTTTTGTGCAACTATTCTGAGCGCACGTAAAAAAAAAATTGAGCGCACGGAAAAAAAAAATTGCAGGTGCAAGTGTTGCATTTTGAGGATAAATTTATTTTGAGCGAAGAAAAGCTAAATTTCAGTAAACAAAATTCATTGCTGCGTGCAAAAAATGTATTTCAGTGTTAGCTATTATCCATACACACACACAATAGCATCCTCTCTCACTCAGTTTTTGCATTTGCGCTTGCTCGCAATGTGTTGCTTGCACTCTCAACATTTCTGCCCGTGCGCGTTCAATGCTTTCTGTACACCGTTATATTTGTGCCACAAAACCAGCCAATCACAGACTTGGATGCAAAAAAATCTGAATTGGCTGTTTTGGTCTCCAATCAGCTCAAAATGACGAAATGCAATATCCCAGAATCCATTTCGTCCAAAACTCAAATGAGGCAGTGGAGGAGGAACACAGGGTGGCGGAGTTTGAAATATTGCTCTTTCTGGGTCACAAAATAAACTTTTAAGATATTTTCATGCGAGAATGGTGCTGTGTGAACTTCAAATATCTGCTCGATTTATCAAGACATCACATATTTGCAAAAGTGCTCTAACGTTTTTGGAAATGCCTGTTAAATTTTTTTTACGTGCACTCAGAATAGTGGCACAAAAATAACGCCATATAAAACTGGATGATATCTGCAATGAATGAGTAACACTTAGAAACATTTGGTAAATGGTGCAGGTTGGATTTTAATTGCAGTGTGAAAGGGCCTAAAGTTAAAATTAAATTACAAGTCTAACACAGTGTTTAGCTCACCGGTGCTTGGTGGATCTTGGCTGTTGTTGCGTTCACACTCTTTCCTGTACAATTCCCAGTGCTCCGTCACCTTTTGCAGGGAAACAACAGCAGAAACCTAAGGAGACAATAACAGGAACACAATTAAAGAAAAAATATC